GGACACTAAAATTTTGTAACTTAAATCTAAACACTTAAATTTTTAAAGAAGACATTAATCAAATTACCTAATATACCCTTATCTGTAATAAATATAAGCTTATATAAAATATTAAATGAGATCTAAAATTTATTTATTTTAAAATTTTTATAATATCTTGGATAATACGGACATAATGGCTAGAATGGGCTGCCAGCAACCGATCAGTGGTGTCGCAATCCGGTGGCCAAAAAGTTTTCCAACATGATATAGTAACAATAATAGTGTAAAAAGTGTTTGTCTTTAAACACTCTATCTATTTATATGATTTTTAAAGACAATAAAGTTCTATTTTTGTTAGTACTGGTAATTAATCTCAACCTCCCTATAGTACTAATAATGACTCTCAACTCTCTCCAGTCAGTGTCTTTTTGTTAATTTTAACCATGAAATCAGAATTTTGGTCAAAATCTATTTGGGGTGATTAAGAAACTTTTATAAAGTTGGTTGGGTGTAAAAGTAAAATTTTATAAATTTCGTGTGAATTTTTAAATATGGTTAAAGGATAAAAAAGTGATTAGTGCAAATAGCAATACTGTTTGTCTATGGTATAGAAAACAAACTCAGCCACGTGGCCAAGAGGAGCCTAGCGACTGGCCCGACTAGTGTACTGGGAGATGGTGGCTGCCAGCTAGCACTCCTCATGTTAGGATTTGAGAGAATGAGACCTTTTTGCCATTGAGTAACAATCTTAAAAAAGAAAATAAATGATAAAAATATTCATCTTATTTGTTATGCTCATTTAAAAAATTGTAAACTAAAATTAATAAAAAAATATTTAATGAAAGAGTCAAATAATTAAACAGATCAAGCGGTTTATAAAATGAAACTAAACACTACTAATTATAAAATGAATTACAAACGAGTTGATCCATTAACGGCTTAAACCAATAAAACTAAACTCAAAACTAATACATTTAACAAAGTAAGAGAGAGAATCTCATTACAAAAGCTCTAACTCATTACCAAAATCTCATTAAAAAGTTTTACTTAAGAGTAATTTTTTGTCAGGCCCTTCATCAGAAAACTAGGCCCATGGACACCAAGCCATTTCGCATATCTGACAAGTTGACAACTCCCTAATCCTATTGGGGTTACAGACGAGACCAAACAATGTATTTTGTTAAAAAGAAAATGATAGAGTTATAAAAAATTATATATTAAATTCATGAACCGAATAACATGATAAAATCATGACCGTCAATTAATATTAACTTATAATAAATAAACGGTCAAGATTATGTCACATCATTTGGTATGCATCCTTCGATAATTATAGTATTACTCTTGTTAGAAATAGCAAGCATTGTATGCTGCCGTCTCGGTTTATCATATTCTTTTAGCAAATAACGTAACCCCCGCCAAGAGCCTTTAGGCCTTTTCCAAGTTTTAAGCTGAAAGTACAACACTATCACGGGGGTTTTGAAAACTCTGAAACGCTGATGTTTCATCACAGCCAAATGGAGCTTGAAATGGAGACCTCTTCTAGCTTCCTGGACCGGGAAGATCTCTTCATCGGAAAATTATTTTTTATAGGCAACAGATTGTAGAATTGTTTTCCGGAAACTTATGGCATTTGTTTTGGGAAACAAAAGATTGCAGCATTTTATTTTCTAAATTCCATTTAAGTGTCATAACTTGATTTAATATTATTTGAAATCTTTTCATAAATTTGCTGCCAGTAATCATTTAATTAAAAGCTTTTCAAAGAAGCCAATTTGAGCATATGTAGTCATGAAAGCTTTCTTTAACCTCAAATTATCATATTAGGCTACACAATGTCCATTTAAATCATGTGTGTTTAAATAGAAAATCAAACCTAAGACTGTGTATTTATTTACATTATTCTTAATTTGTCTAATCATTTGAACTATCCACGATTGGATAGATACACATTATATATACATACTTTTGATATATATTTATTAACATTGTATGTCTAATGTATACCTAATGTATGGATTAATAAAATAAACAACAAATGAGCTATTAGATATATATTTATTTATTATATTAAAATGCTAACGAAATACTAACAACTCATCAACCTCTTACGCTAACTCTGTGTCATTCAAACTTTTTATTTATTATTTTATAATATTTCCTTATTTGAGCAATCTGTGGTGACCACAAAGAGAAGTTTAATTAAATTAATTATGCAATCAAGTTTGAATTCTGAATTATTCGTTGGTAACACATCTGAGTATATTACGTGTCTCTAAAATGCCAAAGGTTGACTTTAGAGTTATTTTCAGGCTACAGCCTAGAGTATCCCTACAGACTACAGTACATGCATGCCCAAATCAACTATTCATCACTCATTCTGCCATTTAGATTAAATAAAATATTAATAATCTTGATTTTAGTATTTTAATATATGAACATCCTGCAGTTTCTTCTTAAGAATTAAAATGCAGAGAAATGGGTGCTTTTGCTTCGTAATTTCCCCATTCTTAACGACATATCTGCTTATATAAACCAAGGAAAATAATAGAGACACTAGGAGTAATACACCGAATTTATGCATTGAATGACATGACATAATCCTGACCGTTGATTAATTATAATTTAATATTAATCGACGGTCAAGATTTCGCTATATCATTCTGTGCACAAATTCGGTGTATTACTCCCGATGACTATAGCATTACTCATAAACCAAACCCCTTTTGCTTCTTTACTCAAAGATGGACAACCATGCATTTCTCCATTGATTTGAGGCTTTTCTTCCCACCTCTGCTAAATATTTTTATTTTCTTTCTATTAATGAAACTCCAAGCGGAAAACATTCTTCAATATCAATTTCTATTTATCATGTTACTTATTCTTACTCTTCTTTTATTACTAACTTTCCTCTTCACACCTATCACACTCTCTCTTACTACCAGTCGTCTCATCTTTGTGTGTCCTGAAAAATTTTATCTTCTCTTAGCTTTGTCAATCCTAGTGTTATTCGTTTTACCACCCTCACATTTCTTGATAGCCTATTTGTTTCTCATTATCATATTTCTATGGTATGCACTATTATGGAGTTTAATTTAATGCTTTTTCAACTGCTTTCTTCAAACTCTACCATCACTTCCTACTATCTTCAGTACTTGGTAAACCAAAACCAAGAAAATCAAGAATTAACTTTTGCTGTGGGTAAAGAGGTTGAAGGACTTAAAGTAGAAGGTAACCTAATTGAGCAAGAACTAGAGCAAATTGAGATTCATAGATAGATAGTTAGTGTCTCTATAGAGACAGGATGATGTTTAATTTGTCATGTTACTATATTGAGAATCTAATTCGTGACTTAGGCAATTAGTATACATGGTACAAAGCTTGAAACTGGCTGTTATTTGAAGTCATTGTTCTTGTTGTAGTAATTCAGTAAGTTCCATACTCTGTTTCCCAAACCTGAAAACAAGCAAAAGTACAAACACAAACAATCTGTTTCATCTTGCTCTCTCTGTGATGGTGATACCCGTTCACTCTTTTTGGGTTTATTTTAGTCATAGTGTTGTTGCCTTTTCTATATAGCTGCTCTGACTGGTTCCATTAGGCCGTGATTCCAAACTTGCATGAGAAGATTAAAGCCCATGGGCGAGGCTTGCACTTGTGGGCCTAAATGACTCTTGCTCGATATATATACCTCAAATCTCACGGACCAAATTGTATTTAACTCTGTTGATGTCATGTATAAGAGGATTACGGGAAAGAATTATTGAAGCACATTTTGTTTTGTATAGGCAACATATTGTATAATTGTTTTCCGAAAACATATGGCATTTGTTTTTGGAAAACAGAAGATTGCAGCATTTTATTTTCTAAAACCTGTTTAAGTGTCATAACTTGATTTAAGATTGCCGCATTTTTTTTTCTTCTATTTGCTGTCTTCATTGTGGGTTGGTGAAGACGAGCTTAGAACATTATTACATCAATACATCTTTCCTCCTCCATTAAAAACATTAAAACTTAAAATTGAAAAAAAAAAAATGTCCTGAGCCCACCAGCTTTGACTAAATTTCGGATATTAGCGAAGGAGACACTCATACACGAACCATGATTTCTTTTTAGAGTCTCATATCTGATTAAAAAAAAATAAATAAATAAAGAAAGAAACGGAGATCGGGAATCCATGGCTATAGAAGCAACCATTTGGCTTGCGGTAACAAACCTTCATGATGCATGGACATATTCTACTTTGCCAACTGGTCTTATAGCCCATACAACACTGAGACAGTTCACGGTTAGGCTACAACATTCTCTGAAAATCTTAGAAGGTTCAGATGATGACAAAGGAAGGGCTGTCACGGTTTGATGATGGGAAGATCAAACTTCTGCAAGCTGTTTATCTGGCAGAGGATGCCATAAAAACCTTCTTCCGAACTAAAGAATTGCAGAAACAGAATATTTTCATCAAGTTTTTCCCGCTTTTCTTGAGGTCATCAAATATGCAGTTTCGTTTCAGCAAGGAGATGACAAAATGTTCGGGTCAGCTAGTCGACTCCATGCCCGTTGAGTTGGATGGATGATTCAGGCATCTAATTATTGAGAAAATACATAACTGTCATTGGTTTCGTGCACCACCACCACTGCTGAAGACTCTGGTGGACATTAATCAGAAAACCATATTCAAAATCCCATATTCATCAAAACAGAACCTCATCCATGAATCTCATATTATGCAATGAATCTAAATGATACGGTTAAAGTTTCTCCTATACAATTTTCATTGCTGCCGCCCATTTCACCAGTGCGAAATCCAGCGACTAAATTGAATACCCTTATATATTTTAATTCTCACACAACCGAGTTACTATTCCTTCACCATCAAACTACTACCCAGCCAATATGCATTCCCCTGATTAGGTTTAAATCATTTGCCATTCGCTGGGAAATAAGCCAAAAAGTAAAACCGCCGTGCATTTGGTAATTTTGTCGCTAATGCGGCTGCTAAACTAAGATTTGGATTGAAGTTCCAAAGGAAATAAACATATATTATAAGAAGCAAAAATTACAACATCTGCAGTTGGCAGAAGCAAAAAACTATGTCACAATCAGATAAGGTTTCCCATGGCTTTTAGATATCTGAAACTGCTTAGTCATGTCAAAATGATCCATAAAAAAACAAACACGAGTAAGGAGCTCTCCCCCATTTCTTTCACACATAAAATGGAAGAAAGAAATTAAAAGCAGAGCACTTAAGATTTCCAATTGCATACAACAAATGTTGCCAACTAAAATGGGTTTCCACAGCATTGCATTTGGACCGAGACTCCTTGCATCAATGACTGTTTAATCCTGAGATGGAAACAATAAATTTAACCTCATAAATTCACTTCGGGAAACAAAAGGAAAAAACAAATTTCAGATAAAGAGGAAAATGAAAAAAAAAAAAAAGATTGCCTTTGAAACTTCTTTGAAAGAAAAGAATCAGCAGATGAAAAGAAAAATCAATAATATGAACAATGTCAGATGAACAAGGCAATAAAAAGATGAAAACTACTCACAAATAGAGGTTGAAAGTTCCAGTCATTTTCAATAACCACGACGNTCACTTTGTATTCTCAATCGCCCCTAACCATGCAGCAGTGCTAAATTCTATATTAGACAAAAAGCGAGTCAGCACGGATACTGCAATAGGTAGACCCCCACATTTTCGCAAGATTTTCTCCCGAATCTATCCCTGAGAAAACACTTCGTCTCCTGTTTCTCTTCTGGCCCTTTTCGAAAACAAACTCCGACTTTCGTCCTCAGTCAGTGGATTTACTCGGAGAAGAGGAATTGTTGGATCAATATGAGTTGCTATATTATTGTCACGGCTAGTTAGGATGACCCTGCTACCATTTGATGAGATTGGAAAGACCACTTGGAGTTTCTCCCATATAGCAGGTGCGTGGACATCATCCAAGACAATTAAGTACCTCTGAGTGTTTAATAAATTAATACAAGGCTTCTCCTGCAACTTCTCGAGTGGCAATTTCTCTTCATCTCTAACCTCAGTCACCTGCTTCAATATCTGAACTAATAGATTTTTCTCTTTAAAATTTGGAGAAACACAAATCCAAGCACGGTTGTGGAAAATTTTCTTTATCTCTGAATGGTTGTAAACTCTTTTCACTAGAGTTGTCTTGCCAGAGCCTGCAACACCCACCACTGATATCAGAAGCTTCTCACTAGTCAAAATTAATCTACTTAATTCCGAAATTTCAGAATCGAAACAAAAAATATCTTCTTCATTATTTATCTGATGAAAAACTGTTTGCAAGCACTGCTTTTTTTCATCAAAAAATTCACAACATTTTATGATAATATCAGAAGTTCTTTTGCGCAGCTCGACGGATACCCAGTCAGTGAGCTGATCCAAACTTTTTTTCATCTCATTGCTGAAACGAAATTGCACCGTGGATGACCTCAAGAAAGAAGGAAACTTAATAGAAACTTTCTGTTTATGCAAACTTGTACTTAGGAAGAAGGTGTGTATGGCCTCCTCTGCCAGATAAACAGCTTGCAGAAACTTGATCGTCCAGTTGTCAACTGTCAGAGCACTTCCTTTGTCATCCTCTGTACCTTCCAAGATTTTTAGAGTATCTCTAAGCTTCTACATGAACTGTCTGAATTCTGTATCCACTCTTGAATTAACTGGACAATAAGAACATACCCATGCATCAACTAAGTTCTCAGCCGCATGGTAAATGATTGCTTCTTCAATAGCCATGGACTATCAATCTCCGTTTCTCTTTTCTGTTTTTTTTTTTTCTCAATACTTGCGACTCATGTGGCTCCTTTGCTCAGATCTGCGATGTAGTCAAACCTGAACGAAATAGAGAAGCAACAGGAACAAAATAATAATAATTAAACAAAACAAACAGTAAACAAAGAATGTAATACGCGCGATTTACCCTGGTTCACCCAATGTAGGCTACGTCCAGCTGAGTCAATATTATTGCAATATGCCTCACTTCTCTCGTTTACAATGAATGAATTGTTCTCACTTCCATAACAAGAGAAAAATATGTTTATATACTAGGTTTAAGAGATTAAACCTAGTTTTACAAGAATTCATATTCCTAAGCCCAACCCAAAAAGGAATTAATAACTTAAAAGGAATCCTACAGCGGTTATACATGGAAAAGCCCAAAACCGCCTACGGGCGTCTCCGTTACCCATTAATGCTGAAGTAGTCGACAACTCCAACAAAACCTGGTGGGCTCTGGACATTCTTTTATGATTTTTTTATTTTTTAATGTTTTCAATGTAAAAGACTCCAAAGTGGTGTTCACTTTGCAGAATGCATGTGTGTGGAAATAAAAATGGGTATGGGTATGGGAATGTAATAAAAATAACAATCATGCTAGACATAAAAAAAAAAAATCTTATAAAGGTTTTTATACAAACTGATATGACAGAAAATGAATAGGAGAATAAATAAGATAAGTTTGACTTTTTATATTCACTCTTTCATTCATTTTCTATCACATAAATCTTTGCAAGATTTGTTTGTAAAACGAATAAAATATGATTATATTGTTTACTTGTAACAATGATGAAATGGAATAAAATTTTACTTTTTAATAAAATTACCCTTAACTTTAAATGATTGTACATATATATTTTTATCATGATATGAAATTAATATAAACTAGTTAAATATAATTTAAATTTAAATTAATTATTTTAAATAAAATTGATATATTATTAACTTATTTTATTTCATAAATATAAATATCATTTTTTATTTAAATAATTTTTTTTTCAAAATTTTAGAACATATCAACACTAACAAAAGTTGTGGACGATAACATTCCTTAACGTTTCCATTGTCATTATCGGCACGTGAAGGCTTTCCATCTTTCGATCTTTTGATGTAGGTACAATTTTTTTCATAAAATTTAAAAAAGGGACATAAGTTTCAATTTATTCAATTTAGAGATGGCCAGCGATGTTGACATGAGGTAAAGGCAACTTCTATTATTNAAGGAAACTTAATGAAAACTTTCTGTCTCTGCAAATTTGTGCTTAGAAAGAAGGTGTGTATGGCATCGTCTGCCAGATAAACAGTTGCAGAAACTTGATCTTCCAGTCATCAACTGTCAGATCACTTCCTTTGTCAGCCTCTGTACCTCCCAAGATTTTTAGGGAATCTACGAGCTTCTCCATGACCTGTCCGAATGTTGTCTCCACTGTTGGACTAATTGGAAAATTAGAATATATCCATGCATCATGTAGGTTCCTAACCGCAAGCCAAATGATTGCTTCAATAGCCATGGATTCTCGATCTCCGTAGACTGTATAAAGTTTCGACTCATGTGTCTACTTCGCTTATAACTGTAATATAGCGGGCTCTGAACATTCTTTTATAATTTTTAATTTTTTATTACTTTTGATGGAAAGACTTTACGGTTGTGATTACTTCATATAATGCACAAGAAACTCCACATACGTCGTTTACTTTTAATAATAAATAGTGATGAAATTTATACTTTTTGGGTAAAATTATCCTTAACATAAGTAAAAAATATATATGCATAAATGATTATACATATACAATTTTCTTTTTTTTTTTTATTGGAAGTGTCCGGACCAGCTTACATACATCTTGACTAGTCCCTTGACTCCAACAAAGTTTCTGAAATAGGACAAATCTTACGGTCCGTGACTAGCAATATTAACAATCATTCTTGTGATTCGACAAACATTTGACCTCAAGTTTTTACCATTCGCACAATCCATTGTTGGTTTAAACATAAATCACTTCATAATGAAATTTATATTAACTAACTAAACATAAATCAGTCCATTAAATTAAAATTAATTATTATAAATGATACTGATATATCATCTTCAAGAAGTTATCGTCCAACGACCACAACCCATTTTCTGAGCAGCACCCCAGAAACTTAAACACTTGCGCCAAATCAAGAAACAGCGCCTTGATGATGATGATGGAGGTTTTTCCTCCAGGAATAAGAAAACTGTGGAAGGATTGGGAGTTAAGGTCATTGGTTTTCCTCAGCCTCGCATCACAAATGCTTCTGATTTTTCTGGCCAACCGCAGGAAGTACATTCCCAAAACTTGGATTAAAGTTGTGGTCTGGTCTGCCTACTTGCTGGCGGATGCTGTAGCAACTATGGCCCTTGGCGTACTCTTAAATAACATTGGAGAAATCTACGACAATGGTGGTGTTCTTGATTCCAATGGTGAGATTGCTGCGTTTTGGGCACCGTTTTTTCTGTTGCATTTGGGTGGCCCTGATACTATTACAGCATACTCTTTAGAAGACAACGAGTTGTACCTAAGGCACGCATTTCAGTTACTTTTCCAAACACTAACCACAGTATTGATCTTTCTAATTGCATGGAATGGCTCGCGGATTTCAGTTCTTGCAATACCAATGATTATTGTTGGGTTTATCTAGTATGGAGAGAGGACATGGACTCTCTGGTCAGTAAGCAGTAATCAACTCAGAGAATTGGTGCTCTCTTCGGCTGCTGCTGATTCCAATTACCCCAAATTCTTGGATGAATACCCGTTGTATCTTGCCGAGGGATACAAAGTGGAAAGAGACTTCATGATAGATGCTCCCGCTTTTNAAATTCTCCAGATTTTAATGATAATGGAGACTATGGCAAAGCCTCTGAAGATAAATATTTTGGTACAAGATTTAGATTTAAAATACGCCTTGGGATGTCTTTGGAGAATGCAGTGGAGGATATTATGTCTTGGATTTGTTATACGACATTTAACTTTTGGCTACAGTAAGTGGAGTTCCGGATGTTGAAAGTTCTACCACCCCAAATTGGGAAGGCTTTCTTACTAATGGTTTGACTTGCCTTTAAACAAGGTTGAGACAAACCAATAGATTTTGGGCAGAATATGCATTAGGTGTCCTGCTTACCTTTTTGGAATTAAGTTGATACCAAGAATCACAACAAAACAAATTTTGTTTATATTCCAAGTTAAGGACTGTCTGCAGGATATAATTCCTTCATTTATGAATTTTGTTTAAAGGCATTGAGGTTAAAATCTATTGGTTTGTCTCAACATTGTTTCTATCGATGATGACTTTAAAGGCATTGAGGTTACTTATTGATGGTGGTATGAATATTTGTAAGTCTTTGAGTTTCAAATTTTGAAAACCTCGAAATGTATAGTTTCCTTAACTCACAGTTTAGCTATCAGACCCTTGGTTCTGTAGTTTAGGCCTGCAAACGAGCTGAGCTGCTCATGAGTTGCTTGGGCTTTATTCAAGTCAAGCTCGAGCTCAAGTAGCTTGCATGTTGAGTTGAGTCGAGTTTGAGCTTAATAATATTTGACTTGGAGCAGTTTGTGAACATACTCGAGCAACTCGTGAACTTACTCGAGTTCAACATATTATATAATATTTTAATTATATAAAAATTAAAATAATTAATAACTAAAAATTCCAAACCTCAAATTCCTAATTCACTTTTTCATATTCAACATTTTGACTCGATTACAACTAAGTTGAGCTCGAGCTCGATTTGGACTTAGTTATAATCGATTCAAGCTCGAGCTCAACAATTGAAGTTCGGTCGAGCTCGAACTCGAGCTTCGACTATTCCAACCGAGTTGAGGTTGAGCTTTTCAATACTCGACTCGATTGCAACCCTAATTTTGCTAATAGCATTGTTAATTCATCCATGGAGCTACAAGGTGTAAACATCAGGAATTTGTCGATAAGCTTAGACAAGTTCTGAGGCCTTGGATCATAGATGGGTTTAATATCTACATTTAATAGTTTAGGCGCTCTATTTCAATGCTATCTGCAATCAACAATTGAATCATTGATTTGAAATAAACAAAAGAGATTGTTGCCGCAAAGAAAGGCTGTTGGATTCCACATATGTAGATCAACATGAAGGATTTCATGTTCATATTATTATTATATTTGGATAACATAATAATATCAAGTTTCAACTAGGTTTTGCAGTTAAGAATCTACTTTTCTTTTCTTTTACTTGTTTTCTACTATTAGCACCCTATTCTTGTCTTGTAAATGGGAAAAGTATTCTATGCATCAGTCCTTTAGCAAATCAATGAATTCATGTAAGGTAAATATTCATTTTAAAAATCACTAATCAGATAGTTTATTACATAAACAAAAGAGAAAATAATGTATTACCTGATTTGAATATATTCATTGTCTTAACCAAGTGAAACACCCTCTGTTTGCTTTATGTTGGAGCCAAGATGGCTGATAAAGCAAAAGAAGCTTGAGTTTTGTAACAGCAAGGCCAAAATACCAGAAGTGGAAGCTCCCACGTAACCAAGAAGCCACTGTTGAAGACGCAGGCACATAGATTGACAAGACCTTCAAGCACAGGCAATGTCATCAGCTACTTCCTCTGTGGAGTTTTCTTAAACAAAGGAGAAATCAAGGCAAGTGATCCCACCTTACAAACTGTATTCATGTCATCTTCATGGTAACTTTTATTATCAATATCTTCATTTCACCACCATTATGATCTCTTAGATAGTCATTAAGTTCTTTGACACCTTTGAATATCTGATCTAAATTAAAAAAAAATAATGTGCTATGGCGTATGGGACAATGATTGATTACATGATCTATAGCATACTGACCTTCACTGGTTGAGAGATATAATGGTGAGGTCAATATTACATTTGGATATCTGTTTCTAAATTTTAAGGGCGGATGTTTTTTGTGCAATGAAGTAGTAGATATGGTGTTTTTCTGGATTTCCCTCAAGTAATTATATGTAAATTAATGTTTAAGTGTTTGGTGGGAGAAAACTGAGAAAATTTAACACTTCCTTAGGTTCTTCTTTTGTGACTATTGACATTTACTATTATTGATTTATTTTCAGACTTAATTCAAGTTCATCCCAATCATGTCTAGGTATTTGAGGCAATTCAAAGTTAATATCAGAGATACAAGGGAATTATAAACAATGTATAGTTTTTTATGTTATTAAACTATTCTGATTAGAATCTTCCCGCTATACACCTATTAAGTAACTTTTAGGGTGAGTCTAAATGCTGGTATGAATTAAATTTCTTTCTGCACCTATTCTGTTTTCCTTGTCTGTTACTTTATCCCTCTGTTTTCTTGTTCTACATCAGCTGTTACTAATGAATTTGGTTGCTTAAATTTGTCAGAAAAAATCAAACAAGGAAGTCCAGACTTCAGAATCTATGGCAGCGGAAGTACCCATTTTTCTCTTGAAGGAGAAGCTAAGAAGTCTTGCTAAGGGTAGTCAAATCATTCAGCCAATGGAGGTGACTCAACTTCGTCGGTCCATTAAGAAACTATCAGAAGTAGAGGAACTCTTGAAAAGTGATTCAAGTAATGGCAGCTCAAATTCTAAGCTTGTGCAAGCTGTTTACTTGGCAGAAGATGCCATAGACAACTTCATTGCAATTCAGAAAGAGAAACCAACAGCTTACGTGCACTTGAATCTTCCTTCTTGAAAAATCTGGAAAAATTACTGGGTAAGATAAGCAATCTGTCAAAAACTAGTACTTCCAATACAAAATATAGAATGGAGGAGCTACCTGAACTAATCCTCAATGGAGACCGTTCACATTTTCACATTCCAGTGGTGGAATATGGTTCTAAGAGAGAACCGTTACAGAAGATTTACAATGATGAGAGTATCAAAAGAACATTTAAATCAATGAAAAACCATTTTAAGAAATTGATCTTGCAATATGTTTCATTGAATCTGAGAATTGCTGATATTTTAACTAAGGTGTTGTTTGTTTTTCTCACTTTTCACTTAATCTATTTAGTTTTAAGTCTTTTGATTTTTTTTTTTTTTTTTTTTAAATACAAATTATCAGTTATTTTCAAATAAAATCACTTGTTAGAAAAGTAAACATTTGTAACTTAAATCTAATCACTTAAATTTTTAAAGAACACATTAATCAAATTATCTCATATGCCCTTATCCACAATAAATATAAGCTTATATAAAATATTAAATAAGATCTAAAATTTACTTATTTTAAAATTTTTATAATCTCTCGGATAATGCAGACACAATGGCTGGAATGACCTGTCGGAAACCGGTCACCGGTGCCGAAATCTGGTTGCCAAATTTTTTTTCAACATAATATAGTAACAATAATGGTGTAAACAGTGTTTGTCTTTAAACTCTTTATCTATTTATATAATTTTTAAAGGCAATAAAGTTCTATTTTTGTTAGTACTGGTAATTAATCTCAACCTCCCTATAGTACTCATTAAACAAAGTTAGAGAGAGAATTCAAGAAACTCATTACCAGAAGCTTATTGTAATTTATTTTCTTCAAAGAAAGGAGCTTACAGTGTGTCAGTTCTTGCTTACAAACCTAAATCTTGTCACTTACAAATGTAGACACACTTCTTATCTTCTATTTCTCGAAACAACGGTTTCGAGAAATAACGAAACCGTTATTTCTCGGTTTTGTTATTTCAAATCTTGTCACTGTATGCCGCCGTTTCGGTTGATCATCTTCTTTTAGCAAATAACGAAACCCCAGCCAACAGCTTTAGGCTTTTTCGAGGGTTTAAGCTGACAGTACAACACTGTCACAGGGCTTTTGAAAACTCTGAAATGTTGTTGCTTCATCAAGGCGAAATGGAGGTTGAAACGGAGACCTTTTCTAGCTTCCTAGACCCGGAAGATCTCTCCATCAGAAAACTGTTTTGCATGGGCAACATATTGTAGAATTGTTTTCCGGAAACATATGGCATTTGTTTTTTGAAAAACAAAAGGTTTCAGCATTTTATTTTCGAAAACCTGTTTTAAGTGTCATAACTTGATTTAATTTTATTTGAAATCTTTTATAAATTTTCTGCAAATAATCATTTAATTATAAGCTTGATGTTCAATCTAGTACTTAGAGTGGAAACAATCCTAGTTTCAAAAGACACTTTTACCCATGATGTTTAATAACTTTGGGTTCTCATTCTCTTATAGCCTAAGAGTGGAAACAATATCAGTTTTTAATACACTCTATCCATGATGTTTAATAACCCTTAGTCCCTTACATCAAATACTTTGTACTTTCACATTTTTTCATAACCGTGAATTGATTTTTATCTTTATATTTATAAGTAATATAAGAGACAATTTATTTTTAATACGATTCATATTTCAATTTTTAATAGAACTTTTATAATTTTATTCTTATTTATAATTATATTCTTTATTAAATAGTTTTTTCCTTAAAAAAACATATAATTTTACATGAGAACAAAAATGCTTTGATCAAGCTCTTATCTCCCAATTCCAAGTCATGAAGTCAAAATGACAGAAGTTTTACTCAAGAGTAATTTTGAAATAATAAACTATGTGAGTTTGTTGATATAATATTGGTGGTTTTTGGCGCAAGAGTTGAAGTTTCCAGGATGCTGCTCAGAATATGGGTTGGCGTCGTTTGATGGTTAAATCAATTTGAAATAATAAAAGCTCTGTTTCTTGATTAGGCGCAAGTTTTGAAGTTTCTCGGATGCTGCTCCGAAATGGGTTGGAGCCGTTGCAGGATGACTTTCTTGGAGATGATTGGTTTAAGTCATTAGAATGGGTGGGGAGCCATCCTTTAGTCAACTCTGTTTTCTATAGAAGAAAAAAAAAAAGGGCAGCCATAAAGGGGAATTTAATGAACGTTTTCAGTACATTTAGATAAAGTCACGATGACTTCACCAAAATATTATATATCATTAAATCAACGAAGACCAATGCATCTGTCCTTCGCCCACCAGCTCTGACCAAATTGCAAATATTAGCGAAGGAGTTACACAGACCACGACGTCTTTTTAGAGTCTCATATCTGATAAAAAAAAAAAAAAAAACAACAGACAGGAAAGAGAAACGGAGATCGAGAATCCATGGCTATTGAAGCAACCATTTGGCTTGCGGTAACAAACCTAAATGATGCATGGACATATTCTACTTTGCCAACTGGTCCTATAGCCGATACAGCATTGAGACTGTTCATGGATAAGCTACAAGATTCTCTGAAAATCTTAGAAGGTTCAGAGGATGACAAAGGAACGGCTCTCACAGTTGATGATGGGAAGATCAAGCTTCTGCAAGCTGTTTATCTGGCAGAGGACGCCATGAAAGCCTTCTTCCTAACTAAAGAATTGCAGAAACAGAAGATTTTCATCAAGTTTTTCCTGCTTTTCTTGAGGTCATCAAATATGCAATTTCGTTTCAGCAACGAGATGAAAAAATGTACGGGTCAGCTAACCGACTCTATGCCCGTTGAGTTGCGCACAAGAGCTTCTGATGAAATCGCTGCACACAAGTTAAATTGGTTAATGGCCAACTATGATATCAGAATAAAATTTTCTGAAGTTCTAAATGAAAAGCACCACTTGCAAACATCTTCTCATCATTTCTATGGTGAAGATATTGTAGGTTTCCATTACGAGGTTTCGGAATTAAGTAGATTAATTTTGACTAGTGACAAACTTCTTATATCAGCGGTTGGTGTGGCAGGCTCTGGCAAGACAACTCTAGTGAAAAGAGTTTACAACCATTCAGAGATAAAGAAAATTTTCCACAACCGTGCTTGGGTTAGTGTTTCTCCAGATTTTAAAGAGAAAAATCTTTTAGTTCAGATATTGAAGCAGGTGACTGAGGTTAAAGATGAAGAGAAATTGCCACTGGAGAAATTGCAGGAGAAGCTTCGTAATTTATTAAACACGCAGAAGTTCTTAATTGTCTTGGATGATATCCATGCACCTGCTATATGGGAGAAACTCCAAGTGGTCTTTCCAAACTCATCGAATGGAAGCAGGGTGATCCTAACCATACGTGATCCTGATGTAGCCAACCATATTGATCCAACCATTCCTCTTCTCCGTGTAAGTCTACTAACCGAGGATGAGAGTTGGAGTTTGTTTTTGAAAAAGGTCAGAAGAGACCCCAGAAGCCAAGTATTTTCTGATCAGGGACAGATTCGGGAGAAAATCTTGCAAAAATGTGGGGGTCTGCCTATTGCAATATGTGTGCTGGCTGGCTTTCTGTCTAGTATAAAATTTAGCATTGATGCTTGGTTAGGGGTGATTGAGGATACAGAGCAGAAGGAAAATGAAGAAGAAAGAGTGGTTAGTGATGATAGCGGGGAAATAAAACAAATAGCTGGTGGAATGAGTGAGCAAACTCAGCATGGAACTGATGCAACAGGGGAAGAAAATCACTCAGCTTCCTTAGATGTACCCCATCCTTCAAATATTATGGCTTTGGCCTATCATGGCCTACCTTCTCCTCTAAGGCCATGTCTCATATATTTATGTCTTTTCCCCCGATCATATCAAATCCCCATTAGAAGGTTGCTTCTACTATGGATTGCTGAGGGATTGATGAGACCGCTTGAAGGCCTATATGCGAATCCTGAAGATCCGGTGGGAATCGATCTTGATCCTGAAGATCTGGCTGAAAGTTGTCTTAAAGAGCTGATGGATAGGAACTTGATCGAGGTAGCAAGTTGGAGGTTAGATGGAAGCCCTAAAACATGTTTTGTGACAAGTACTCTGTATGATACTCTCTTTCCAATTGCTGAGAGAATGGGATATTTTCATGTCCATTCTAGCTCATATTCTACGCCGAGATCACCCTACTTTAACATCCGGAGGCTTATAGAATGTGTAGACATTGAGAAGAATTCTTTTTCAGAAAGAGAAACTCAACATCTATGTTCTTATATATCCTTTAACCAAGAAAAGAAAGATAAACCTTCAGATGCAGTAGGAAAGTTCCTCAACAAGGTAACCACTAGAGGTTTTGGATTGCTCACAGTGCTTGATCTTGAAGGTGATCAAGGTACGTTGGTCTGAGACGAACTTTCCTAAACTCAATTCCAAAGTCAGTAGGTGATCTTCGCTGCCTAGAGAGTTTAGATGTGAAGCACACTTTAATAACCACTTTGCCTAATTCCATCTGGAAGGCAAAGAACCTTCGGCATCTCTATATGAACGGCATTTTTCTTGAAATTGCGATAACTGACAATGAGTTTCCATCTAACCTTCAAATCTTATCGGGCTTTCTCATAGGCGATAGCAGGCGCACAATCAACTGGTTGAATAGATTGAGGGGTCTTAGGAAATTGGGACTGACATGCCACACAAACTCAATTACAAAAATAGCTCACTGGATTTCGAAACTGACCAGTCTTCACTCTTTGCGGTTGAAATCAGTCGATGACAATAATAAACCTTCAAACCTCCATCTTCCATCCATGTTGAATCACACAATGCTGTCAAACTTGTATTTGTGATCAATCGACTTGACATAGTAAAACTTAACCGAAATCTCATAATACTTACATTGTGAGGGTCACAACTATCAGAAGACCCAATGCAGCCACTAGAAGGGTTGGAACACCTGAAAGTCTTCAGGCTTTTCGCTAATCTCTACTCAGGGAAAAAAATATATTGTCATGCATTTCCCAAACTCCAGGTTTTGAAGTTATGGATGCTAACGGAGTTGATAGAATGGACTATCGACAAAGGAGCCATGCCTGCCTTACAAAATTAGAGATTAGATGCTGCAAACGTCTAGACATCCCAATTTGGTTGGAGAGTGTGACTTCCTTGAAGGAATTGACCTTTAACTAGTATGAAGAAGGATTTCGTAGATGGAATTAAAAGAAGCGTTGGCCAAAAAACGTAGTCGTTATTGAAAGCGACCGGAACTTTCAACCTCTTTTTGTGAGCAATTTTCATAGTTTTCATCTTTTAAAGTTTATTGCCTTGTTCATCTAACATTGTTCATATTATTGCCTTAATCTTTTGTTGTCCATTTTCTTCTTCATCTGAAAACCGAAGTGAGTTTCTGATTTTCTTGTTTCCCTCTCAGGATTAAACAATCAACAATGTGAAGAGTCTCGGTCGAAATGCAATCATGTGGAAGCCCATTTTAGTTGTGTAAGGCATATTTTTCAAATTAATTTGTTTCTATTAAATATTTGTTCTTTTATGAATTTATTTTCCTGTAAGGTAGCCATGTTTTTCTTTTTTCTATAGAAAGCAGAGTTGTCTAAAGGAATGACTTAGACCAATCATCTCCAAGAAAGTCATCGGTCAACGACTCCAACCCATTTTCTGAGCAGGGCGAGAGAAACTTCAACTCTTCTGCCAAAAAACAGTATAAATTTTTATAAGAAAAAAAAGAGGGAACTAAAAAAANCTGTTCTTGTGATTCGATAAACATTTGACCTCAAGCTTTTACCATTCGCATAATCCATTTTTGGTTTAAACTTTAAACATAAATCACTCCATAATGAAATTTATATTAACTAATTAAACATAAATCAGTCCATTAAATTAAAATTAATTATTATAAATAATACTGATATATCATTAACTTATTTTAATTCATAAATATAAATATTATTTTTTATTTAAATAATTTTTTTTTCAAAATTTTAAAACCGGTCAAAGTTGACGGACAGCAGCGATGTTGACTTATTTTGTGAACTTATTTTATTTCAGAAATATAAATAGCCAGTGTCTTTTTCTTTAAATATATAATATTTTTAATTTATTTATATTTCATATTCTCAAGTAGTGGTTGGGTCGGTTTACTTACGCTAACCAATTGCGTGTGTTCTGAGTTATATGAAGCGAAAATGACCATAAAATTAATATCCATTTATCAACGACTCCAACCCATTTTCTGAGCAGCATCCGGGAAACTTCAATATTTGCGCCAAAAACCAGCAATGACATACCAAGAAACTCAAAGAAATGCCGTCATTGATGGTCAACGACGACCAGATCTAGTCTTTTACGATCGTTGACGATTAGATCTGGCCGTAGATCGACACTCCACCGGCCAGATTTAACCAGTCTGAGTTGCAACGACAAATTTCAACCAGATTCCAGCGGTGGTAGCCGGAATCTGGCACTGTAGTGGTGGGGGTGTTTTTATCATTTTATAAATTAGGTGTTTTGTAATTATTAATAAAGTCAAGGATATTTTCATCCACATTGTCCACTGTTTTGGGGCAAAATTGGACAGAAATTTGCATTACCGAAGTAATATTTTAATACCACCCTCCTCCAAGGTAATATTATTCCCGATGATTTACCCCATTTTTGACACTGTTTGTTATCTTATTTTTCAATAATGTTTTTGTATAAAAATGTCAAACACAGTAATTTGGTCAATTAAACCAATATTACCCTTTTTTTTTTAATTTCAACCTGATCCAAAGGAGCCCTAACAGTAAATTACCCCCGGGAAAAAAAAAGTTAGACGGTGAAAGATACAAGCAAATGAGAATGAGCTTTATTGTCAAGAGCTTTAGTAAAGTTGTCAGCAGGCTGGTCTTGTGTAGAAACATTAGCCATTTTGACCATAAAATTAATATACATTTATCATCCGGGAAACTTCAATATTTGCGCCAAAAACCCACAATGACATATCAAGAAACTCACAGAACTTTATTATTTCAAATTGATTCGAACAAATCATCTTCAAGAAGTCATCGTCCAACGACCACAACCCATTTTCTGAGCAGCACCCCAGAAACTTCAACACTTGCGCCAAATCAAGAAACAGCGCCTTGATTATTTCAAAGTGACTTAATCATCCAACGGCTCCAACCCATTTTCTGAGCAGCATCCTGGAAACTTCAACTCTTGCGCCAACTGATAAAAAAATCTCTCCGATGATAAACTTTCTTTATCTCTCCTGAAAACTAGTCCAAGAACCGAAATCTCTCCGATGATACTCACAGGTGCATGTGTAACTGATCTTCTACTTGCTTTTCCTTTTTATTTTTCTATATATATGAACTTTGCCATGACATTGTACACATTTTAATTAATTTTCATGTACATTTTCAGTTGTTAGCGGCTTGATCTTGATGAAGAAGAGGATGATGATGGAGGTTTTTCCTCCAGGAATAAGAAAAGTGTGGAAGGAATGGGAGCTAAGGTCATTGGTTTTCCTCAGCCTCGCCTCACAAATGCTTCTAATTTTTCTGGGCAACCGCAGGAAGTACATTCCCAAAACTTGGATTAAAGTTGTGGTCTGGTCTGCCTACTTGCTGGCGGATGCTGTAGCAACTATGGCCCTTGGCGTACTCTTAAATAACATTGGAGAAATCTACGACAATGGTGGTGTTCCTGATTCCAATGGCGAGATTGCTGCGTTTTGGGCACCGTTTTTTCTGTTGCATTTGGGTGGCCCTGATACTATTACAGCATACTCTTTAGAAGACAACGAGTTGTACCTGAGGCACGCATTTCAATTACTTTTCCAAACACTAACCACAGTACTGATCTTTCTAACTGCATGGAATGGGTCGCGGATTTCAATTCTTGCAATACCAATGATTATTGTTGGGTTTATCAAGTATGGAGAGAGGACATGGACTCTCTGGTCAGCAAGCAGTAATCAACTTAGAGAATCGGTGCTCTCTTCGGCTGCTGCTGATTCCAATTACCCCAAATTCTTGGATGAGTACCCGTTGTATCTTGCCGAGGGATACAAAGTGGAAAGAGACTTCATGATAGATGCTCCCGCTTTTAAAATAAACATGCCTGAGTCTGGAAAAGAATTCAATTTTGATCAAAAGATCATATTAGCCTATGCTTTATTTCATATATTCAAGTGTCTCTTTGCAGATTTGAGCACCAGCGACATCGAGCGAGAAAGCATTGAGCCTTTATTAAAGGATATGTCTCATAAAGATGTTTTCAGTGTGATCGCCATCGAACTAGGATTCATGTATGATCTGCTATACACCAAGGCCATCGTAATTCATACTCGTTGGGGTCTAATTCGCCGGGTTATCACTACTTGTCTCACCAGCCTCGTGTTGCTCATTTTCTGTTTTCTTGACAAGCAGAAATATTCCAGGTTTGATGTCTGGTTAGCCTTCTTGTTGCTGGGTATAGCTATCGTTCTGGATATATATGCTGCTCTTGTTCTGTTCTTCTCTGATCAATCTAGACATTGGTTCATTAGGCGGAAGAAGAGCAATACCATCCTCCAACCCATGTATCTTTTGGAACCAATGCTTTCACTACCACGGTGGTCAAATTCCATTGGGCAGTACAGTTTTACAAGTCTTTGCATCAAAGAAAAATCTGACTGTAAAATCCCGGGGCTCTGTCAGATGGTCAGACTACTGAAAAAACAACGGTTTGTGGATAAACTACTACTGAAAATGAACCAGTACAGGGATAAACTACTAGAAAATCGTCGATATAAAACGTCCTATACACAGGTGACCGAAGAATTGCAAGAGCTGATTTTCAACCATGTCAAGTTGGAATATGAACAATTCAAGGAGAATAGAGGAAGCGACACGAATCTTACAAAATTGCAAGAGCTGATATTCAATCATGTGAAGAGGGAGCATGATCGAGTTAACGAACATAGAGGAAGCGAAACGAATGTCGGAGAATTGCAAGAGCTGATCTTCAACCATGTCAAGAAGGATGTTGATGAATTTAAGGAGAATAGAGGAAACCTCAGGATGACAAGGGGAAGCCGTGCACTTGAAAACCATAGTATGCTTAAATGGAGTGTTGAGATGGACTTTGACGAAAGTATCCTTATCTGGCACATTGCAACAGAACTTTGTTATTATCAGGACAAATACTCAGGAGTCTTCGAAACTGAAAATAACAGTACTGTTGCTGAAATGGGCATGGTGTTGTCAAAATATATGATGTTTCTCCTTGTTCAGAATCCTTTACTGTTGCCAGTTGGAGTGGGAGGTGTACTCAGGCGTCGGGATACTCTTTCTGAGGTCAGCGAATATTTCAAGAAACACAGTATCTCCATTAAACGTTTCGATCCATCAGACGAAACTGAACACAGCACTGGAGATAATGGCGACAATAATGACGACAAAAGAATTCCAGCTTGGATAGATTTACTTGAACTCAGCGTTGAAGTGAAAGAAGATGCAATCAAATCCGTATTCTATTATGCGCACAAGCTTGCATCAGAGTTAATGAAAATATCAGATAAGTGGAAGATAGTTAGAGATGTTTGGGTTGAAATGGTATGTTATGCGGCAAGTCAAGGTAGAGGAAGTGAACATGCTCATCACCTTAGACGAGGGGGAGAGCTTCTTTCTCATATATGGTTTCTTATGGCTCATTTTGGCATGACCGAACAATATCAGATATCTCATAACCGTGGGAGACCTTTTCTGATTTTGAAATAGTTTTTATGCTACTAAATCATTGTAAGATATACAGATAAGATATTAATAATTTCTGCATTTTTGGTTTTATTTTTGGTGTAATATTTGATGTATAAATAAATTAATTTGAAAGAATTTGTTTTACACCGTTATAATAACTTGACAAACGCGTTTGGATAGAACTCAAAACTAAAAGGCTAACTCATGAGGGGCAAGTCAAATTATATTATGTTATAATTTTAGGGGTTTTCTTGACCTTAAGGTTTAATCAAAGGACTAAATTTCTCTTGAAATTTCAAAAATAACATAACTCTTCTACATTAGTAAACCATTAATGTATGGTTAAAATTTATAATATAATGGGTTTTTAAATATTCACTTAATTATTTTGATTATATCTTACGGAGATTATTGTTATTAAGTCTATAATTTACAAAATTATAAAAATTCAAGTTACAAAGAGCCCAAATTTGTAAACTTACCTCTCCCAGGCAAAACGGTGCGTTTTTATATAGTAAAACCACCTTTAAACGCTGTCGTTTGAGTTCATTGTCTTCTGTTTGGCTTTTGCTAATAAAACGAAAACCCCGGCAAGAGCTCTTTAAGCTTTCCTATAGGGTTTAAGTTGAAGTTACAGTCGGTTTTTTTGAAACTCTGAGACGCTGTCTTTTCGTCTCGGCATACTGGAGGTTGACATCGGAGAACTCTTGATAAAATTTGAGGTGGGTTTGACTCCTCACGTAAAAAAGCCTCGTTAAATAAGAGAATTAACCTTTTTATAAATTAATAGGTTTGAACATGTCTAGTTGGTGTAGGATTTTAACACCCTTCTTACAGTTAAACTCATATATTGAGTTATGCTTGTTATCAGAGGACATACCTGAGTTCTGATATTATGATAGAATATGTCTAGTTCAAACTTATATGTTGAGTTATGCCTGTTATTAGAGTACAGACTTAAGCTGTGAGACTATAATAGAATTTGAGATAGGTCTGAATCCTCAGTCAATAAAGCCTTGGGAGGATTATCCCTCTTAAATAGGCTTTAACGTAGGGCTCCAATCATTTGTAGCTTCCTGGACCCGGAAGATCTCTCCATCAGGGAACAGTTTCGTCGTTACGGGTAAAATTTTTTAATAATCTTTTTTTTTTTTTTTTTTGGGAGAGTGTAGATTATTTTTTTGAGTTGAGTTGTATAAAATTTAAGTTCGTTCAGCTGTAGAAGAAAACAACGTTCGCGGTTTCAGCTTTAGTGTTCTACTTCTTCTTTGCTTCGATCACCATGGACTGTTCCTTTGTCATAACACTCTTAAAGAAAGGCAAAGGATGAAAGTTGAAGCCTCCAAGAGTGATAATTGGAAAAACCGGAAACGAAATCCTCAAATTAAAGCGAACGAATAGAAAAAAAATAGAAAAAAAGAATGGGTTGAAATCGGGGCATGATTTATGGGAAAATGTTTATTTTTGCTTTGTCTCAGCTTATTCATTGGTTGTCTTGTAGTATGTAGTTGTGAATTTGTCTTTTTTTTTACTAGTATATTCCATATTTTGTTTGGTCTCTCTCTTTTCTTTTGACTGTTCTATAATTGGTCAGGGGAAGAGGTGGAATTTTTGAGGTTTAGAATTTAAAAAGTTTTTCTTAACTCTCTGTACTTTGTTTTGTAATCATTTTCAAGCATGCCGCATGTGCAGGAAAAGGCACTCAGCTTCAAGCATATCCCCTCACCAACAACTTTCAGTTTCGAAGATCAATGAACCCGCGCTGTTAAATAGTCTGTTAAACTATTACACTAAAACTTATTGTGTGAGTTCTAGGAAATGCTGGACTGATTGCAGAAAATGTTTATGCAGATTGACATTTATCTTTTGAGCTTTTTTAGACTGCATATTTTTTTCCTTCTTTTCATAAACATTTTCGTGTTGGTCTTCCTTTAATTTTTCTGCGAAAAACTCTCTGAAAAACCTTTTTATTTCTGGTTTATTCATTTGTTTTAGGGGAGGGGATATTTTATCAACAGCAGGCTTTAGATAATTTAAATCCTAATCTCCTGAGGATATATATTTATATTAAGTTTATAAGTTCCTGTACTGGTGTTTCTATTTTTGATTGAATGGTAGACAATTGTAGAGAGTATAAGGAAATTATTCAAAGAAGCACATTTGTTTTTATGCAGGAGATGCTGTGGTTAAAATTATATTCTTTTTGCTCTCAACTGCTCACTTTCACATTGTTTGTGGTTTTTCACCCTGCCCATAGCTCAGAGTAGCATTTTTCAGTATACATTTACTTGAATTTGTGTTGTGCAGGGTTAATGCCTATACAAGATCTGATTTTAAGGTTTGAAAGATCATGCCGGAATGTATCTGAATCNGTGTGCATGTGAAATATAAAATCTTCCTCTCTGCTATGGAGTATTTGCCATTTTCTCCAGGAGATGATTCAAAAGGCAGTTTTGAAGAAATTATTGAGAGGTAGTTATATGTTTTCTGAAGCATATGTTTTCTTTCTCGAGGTAGTGGCAAAGTCAATGAGGATTTTGATGAAGAGTTGATGTATTTATGATATAATCTAAGAGGGTTTTGTCAAGATCTCGGGAAATCAAACTTGGGAAATATGACAAAGTAACTGATGTTGCAGAGCAGCATCGGCTGCAGAGTCTTCAAAAGGCTATGGTAATCAATGGTTATGCTTTACACCTCCATCCACCATTGCTGATGTTGCAGATATCAGTGCTAAACTTCTTATGCGAGCATTGATGCGCAGGTAATTCTAGTCCTATGTTTGTAGTATTAGTGTTTAATAATCTCGAAACTTTGAGTAGTTGCAATAGTTTCATTAAAATGGCCAGTATTAGGTTGTGGCAGTGCTTACTGGTTTGAAAAAGATTGTTATTCTTATTGCATTCAAATCTTCAACACTCATAGTGATGAATCATTTAAAGTTGTTCGTTTTTGTTTCTCCCCTGGTTCAGAAGGTTCTCTCTAGTGCATTTTGGTTATGCATGCTTGAAAAGCTCAAATTAGAATAAACCCTTAGTGCATGTTTATTCACTTTCAGATACAACATATTATTCAGGGAGTTTGCTTTAATTTCTGTGTTGAGAGTGCCAGCAATGCCTATAGGTGCATATGCATTACTTAGTTTCCTTGCTGAACCTTTGAAGCAGCTTTCAGAAACTCCTGATACACTTAAGTGTTATGTTTCTGAGAATCTAAAAGAGTTCCAGGACTGGGTATGCTTCATTTTGTATGTGTGCTGTTTATATTTTGAAATTTGGTTAGCATCTGTGATCTGATTATTTACCTATGAATAAAAATATGTATTTTCTAATTTATGTAGAGGGAGTACTATTGCTGTGATGCAACGTATCAGAACTGGCTTAAAATTGAATTAGAGAATGCTGATGTCCCTGAACTCTCATTTGAGGAAAAACAAAGAGCCGTTGCAGCAGCCCAAGAGACACTGAATTTATCCTTAGTATTGCTTCAACGTGAGTAACATTGTCTATCTCTATTCATGTACACTTAACAAGCACATGCTCAGACATGGAGAGATATTAAATTGACAAGATATTGTTTTGATTGTGGTGGACTTATGCTCCTCATGCCCTATTTTGTTCTATGAACTTTATGGATATATTATTAGTTCTTTGATATTTGATGATTTAAATTCTTAATACGGGAAGAGAAAATCCATGGTTGGTTTCCCTTGAAGACCATATATATGAATCAACTGAACCATTATTCCTTGAATTGCATGATGCTGCAATTCTCTGCCTGCCTACTGGCGAATGTATGTGTCCTGATGCCACCATATGTGCTGCAGTAATGAGTGCTCTTTATTCTATAGTGAGTGAGGAAGTTGTGCTAAATCGCTGATTAATGGTATGTTTATTATTGTTGTGTAAAATAAAAATTGGAAAAAGAAATACTTATATGCCTAGCATAATGATTAGGATATTTGGGTACAATTGTACAGATACGTTTCTTTGAGTTCAGGTGTTAATTGAATATTTCTATATGAAGGATGGCTTTGGATTTCTGTCATGCAATGTTCAAGTTCTGGATGTAAACTGTGTTTATTATTATTAATTATTAGTTACAGATTAAAGTTCCCGGGCAAAAAGAAAAGGGATTTGCTTACTTAATGATGGATCAGCACAACCTTAATGTGATGATCTTATTTATTGCAACTAGATCTTCTTTAAGTAGGTATTCTAGAGAAAATCAATTTAATGAGAAGATTAAGAGAGAAAAAAAGATGTAGAATTTTGAAAATATGTTAAGAATAGGATCTTTTAGTTATCTAATCTTTTATTTCTTCTACCCAGCAGCCTTCTTGTGTGGCTTTGTTGCTAGGATAATACATGAGTATTATTATTGGAGAACTATAATCACGGGGCACAAATTCATATTTTTAATAGTCACACATGAACCTTAAAGAGGGCAAGAACGGAGAAAAAACCATCTTGTTTTCGCAAGAATTGCAGGAGTGGAGTTTGACAAGTACTCTGTAGCATAATGAATGTTTATTTTTATTTTTATTGTTTTATGTATCAATGTTTCTGGAGGTCTACTTCATGATATATTTCCCTTTGTCCGTGATTAAATTTTTATGTTCAGGTGAATGTTTCTATTTCATCGAGCAACAATTACTGCATCGAGGTTGTGCTTCGCTGTTTGGCAGTAGAGGGTGATGGACTTGGGTCTCATGACCTAAATGATGGTGGCATTCTTGGTACTGTGATGGCAGCTGGCTTTAAAGGTAAAGAATACTACTGAGGCTACATTTCTGGCAAGCATGCATTTGGTTGCAACTGTGCTTGTTTTATGATGGTATTATTTAAGTGCTTATTGAACTTGTAATCATTTAATGCAGGGGAGCTTGTTCGGTTCCAACCAGGAGTTACAATGGAGATATGTCGATTGGATGCTTGGTATTCAAGTGAAGATGGTTCTTAGGAAGGTCCAGCGACATATATTATACGGGGACTTTGTCGTAGGTGCTGTCTTCCAGAAAT